AGTTGAAGCAGTAGCTACTTTTTAATTGAATACCTGCAGTATAGCAGGGACAATGATATTCTACATCTATTTATAAATTCTTAACCCGCATAGTGATAACATATCCGAGTTCACAGTCTTCTGGGTAGGACACTTACTAAGTGAGCAAAGCTGTGTTAATTATGTTTTACATAAGGTCATGTAAACAGTGCTATCACTGTTACCACCAGCAAGACGGTGGCAGGTGCAGAGCACCAAGGCACGCAGCCCTGCCCGACAGAGGGCGATGTGGATGAAGCTTGGAGCCCGAGGACAGCTGAGGCCCCGAACACATTTCAGGGTGATGTGTGTGTCTTCCACCGTCTGCATCTCCAGCTAGACTCAGCTCCAGATTAAGATCCACTTGTGATTTCTTACCAACAAAACCAACTGTTCTTTTGAGCTCGGAGAGAAAAGATGAGTGCTTCCCAGGTTCTAGGGAAGGGCCATAGCTGCAGCATCAGGGCTCTTGCTCTGGTTGAACTGAAGAGACTGCAGTGATGTCTCTGCCCACAAGAGGGCACCACCAGACTGGGATCCCAGGAAAGCCTCCCGTTTTGAAGGTGGGCCAAGAGGGAGCTGCATCTTTTTGAAAACTCTCTGGGAAGCACAGGGACTCCAGCCCTTTCTCTGTGCAGGCTCCTGTTCTGGGGTGCGGCTAGTAGGCACAGGGGAGACGATTCCTGTAGCTTTTTCGCTCAAGGCTCTAACCAAGGGAGATAGGGCCTCTGCCTGCCTCTGGCCCGAAGCACTATTCCTTCAGTTCTCATAGCAAAAGTGATTCCTGTAAATTGTGAGTCTAACACCCATGCAAGGCCAAGAACAGATCTAGAGCACAGCTTGTATTCCAAGTCCTCAGGGTCCTAACATGAACACGGCCCAAATCAGAACCATCCTGGGACAACGAAGAGATTTTTAAATAAGCTATAAAAGGGTGATGAGGACAGACTCCTTTTATCCATAAGTCAGAGCCACAGGATTGCTAGAAGGACAGAATTCTTTCTCAGCAACCAGGAAGTCATTTCTAGCGGAGACTCAGACCTAATCAAGTCTGAATCTCTAGCTCTTTTACAAAGTGGACCATTTTTTCAAAGCTTTCTGAGTCCACCCACAGACTCAAATGCCTATATCTGATTGTATTTGACCATCCACTCACTCACTCACAAGCTTTTGAGCACCCATGTGGGAGACCTTATTTTAGGAGACAGGGACACAAGGGACTTATGGTCTATGTGGGAGACAAATGCAGAAAAGAACTTCAGAGAAGTCTTCAGACATTGACCACAAAGACGGAATGAACGAGCAGCCCCTCCGGCTGGGCATCGAGAC